TGAAACTTGGGTGATGAGAATCTTTCCTTATTTGGTAAATTATGACACTACCACAAAAGAAAGAATCAAATCCATTTTCCAAATATTGCTATCAATGGAATCATATAAACAACAGTTTTCACAAATCTCATTGTAAGGATACTTAAAATAAATAAAACCAAAATTTTTCCTTTTATTTTAAAATTGCGGAAAAACTTATCATTACAATGCAAATACATATGAAAATTATGTTGTTATCTATTCCTAAGCAATCTATTATAACTCTTAAGCACCAGCTTAAAATTCTGATCTTCAAATTATGCGATCAAAATCCATCTTCGCGATCAGATTCAACATACTCTTCTTCTAAGCTTCCTCTCCTTTTTCGATTCTACAAAACATCAAAATGTGACCTAGTCACATCATGTAATAAGAATCTCTAAATAGGAACTTAATAGAGTTAGATAGTGGACTTTACCTGAAGCATAGTCAAATTTTTTGACTTTTACCATCCTAGTGAACTTTCAGGTAAATAAGTCAGCTTCGCAACCAATGCCACTTCTTTTGGCAATAGAACCATATGAACTCTTTAGTAATAGTACATGGGACTGTCTCAGACTCAACCTTTCTCTTTACCATTTGGTCAACCGGGTTGACTATGGCTGATCCCTTTCCATTGGAAAGATAAGACTTTTCTGGACTTCCAATGTTTCCATTGTCAATGTCCATGTAAGTTTGGGAAGTAGATCTTCCAATCAAATTTGCCTTATCAGTGCTCCAAATCATTGCTGATTCAGCAGCAACAATCAAATAGGTAAGATCATTAAGGGTCATGTCGTGGTCTGTCACATAGTAGTTCTTAATGAACTCACTATATGACTCGGAAAGTGATTGAAGAACCCAGTCAACAGTCAGCTTCCTTGAGACTTCGACACCCAACTCTCCCAGCTTATCAATATGAGACTTCATCTCCAAGATGTGAGTACATATAGACACTGCTTGCCAATAGGGATTGAATGACCTTGAACTATTCAAGAACTTGTGGGTTAGGGAGAACAATTAGAGGAGGTGGAAGAGGTGAAGTATGATTTCCAGTCCCATTAATGCACAACAAAATGGATTAATCTTTCACCTTGATCGCCATTTGGGATATCATCTTCATTAGTAGGGATGAGCATAACCGGGTACCCGCCTATTTTAGCTGGAACCGGAACCGCTCCCGGAACCGGCGGTTCTTAAGTTTTTGGTATTGGAACCGGAACCGCCTACACCGGTTCTTAGAAAATTGGAACCGCTCCTAGAACCGCCGGAACCGGTTCCGGTTCCGGGTATCCGACTTCTTGAGTATTAAAACTTGTTATTTTATACATGCCATGTAAATTTTGTAAATTAACCTATACAAACAATATAAGTACAAGATATAAGACCTAAACATTTACAAAGATTTGATCTTTTAAATAACAAGCTATTAAAAACATTTCCCACTTTTAAATAACACAACAACAAGAGCCAACAACAAAGTACAAACTATAAAATAACAACATAAGACTGAAATTGTAATTCATAAAAGCAAGAACGACAATAAAAACAGCGATAGTAACAGCAAAAACAGCAACAACAAAATAGCAACAACACAAATCAACAACAGCAGCAGAGCACATAACAACAAAAATAGCAACATCAAAAAACAACAACAACAACAATCAACTACTTGGAGAAAAACATATGCGTGCCCCTCCAACATGGTTGCTAGAGTAGATGCAGATGCAATACGCCAATACAGTGCCTGAAATCCATACATATTAAAGGCATCCCATGATAACAACAATATGAATGGATAAAATCAACTTTAATACCTTAAGATATGGATCATATAGCAAGCATGTCATCAGGTTTGCTTCATACCTCCTGTCAATCATATTACACATTTACACTAGGATGATAAAAAAATAACAAATTAATACAATAAAACAACAGAGAAAGCATTGTCTTTTACCTTGTTTGAAGCACATCACTTGAGGGAAAAAGTATTGTACATTGGGTAAATGGTAAAAAGTCATAATGCAACTACAAAACCAGCAACATGTAAGAATACATATACTGGTAACTGGTAAAAAGAATATCTTCAATAACAAAATTAAGTCCAAGAATGAGAAAAAGTTACATGGTCTTGAAGGGATCCTTTT